CACCCCAATGGATGAGGTGGATAGTGAGATGAGCCTCTTAATAACAGCGCTGAGCCAGGTGACCATCTGAAAGTGACTATCCTCAAAGCCAATGTGATTTCAAACACAACTATTTGAAATTTCTTCTTATATGAAGGTTGATTCATTGTCCCTTTCATAAAATCCTTCTTACACGACAAAAACATAAAGGTCTCATCTCATTTTATCATTTGCATCTACTGTAAGGAATCTCGGGGTTAACTTTTTATTCAACCAGAGAACACCAGTAGTAGCTATCACAGTAACGAGAGTGCTTGAGAGACAGACAACAGAGCTGGTGGAAGTTCAGGTTCAGTTACATCTGCTTGCCTTCACATTGCACATTGGGTGAAATTACATTCTGTATATATGCCTCCCTTTCATTCTCCGTTCTTCTGTTGCTGGATAAGAAAGTTGACTCTGTTTTCTTGCTGTGACTAGCCTATCAATAATCTTAGACATGCAAGTCTCTCTGTGGTAGGAAGCAGAGTCCTCTGGGCACATGCTTATGGGTGGTAGCTGGGTCCTGTGGTAACTCTATTTTTTTTAGGGTCATCCAATGCTCTATCCTTAGTGGTTGTATTTGATTACACTTTCACTAGAATTGGATGATTGCTCTTCTTTCCCCAAAGCCTCATCAACATTGAGAAGTACCATTGGTTTTTTTCTTCATATGTGTATCCTAATTTTTAATGTTTATATGCACACAAATAAGGGCTTGTGAGCGTGGATATAAAGAATGATGCTAGACAACAAGCTGTGAGATGTGAAAAGGAAAGGGGCGAGTCAAAACGTCTCATGTGGCGTGAAAATGAGGCTACAGGATTGAGTGACCACAGGAGAGGGGGGAACAAAAAGGAAGAAGCAGAAGACAAAAAAAAAAATCGTCTGAAAATGCCTAAGTCACAATCTAATGAAGCTTTAAATATTTATTTATTTGTTTGTTTGTTTTTGGGTAAAGTCTGAAAGAACTTTACTTGAAACTGAATTCATGAAAACAAAAAAGAAATGGCAGCAGTAATTTGAGATAGGAAAACTATATGGTAGTCCCAAGATCTAAAGTTTCTTTTGTATATATCCTCCCTAAATCTTAAATATGGTCAAGACTTGTAGCAGCTTCTTCTACTACAGCTACCATGATGATGACAAGGATGACGACAACGAGGACCACCACCACTTTTTCTGAGAGTTCTCATCACATAAGAATTAATCTAGTCACATAGGAATTATATTTCTAATAACCTTGGTCATTATGAAGCTAAAGTTAAAGGTCTGACTGGAGTCAGACTTGATGACATGTGCCGTTAACTCAGGAAGCAGGGGAATCTCTTAGAATTCAAGGCCAGCCTAGTCTACAAAACAGTTTTAGGCTAGCCAGAGATGCATAGTGAGTTTCAAAAAAACAACCAAAAACAAAATAAAAAATAAACCAAAAGCCCACAAAGTCTAATGTGGGTTTTGTAATGACAAAAGTCCAAATAGTCTATATTTCTGCAGTGGAAATATCTTCTGTCCAATCTTCCTTATTAAGAAATGTTTGCTGTCACCGTTGATTTATATCATCTGATCTAGTTTTCAAATGTGTCATTATAAATTCTATAAACTGTTTGTAGATTGAGACATGGAATTGATGCCTAAGGAGATTGTTTTAAAAGCAGAATGTCTCTTCTTTGGAAATCCGAGAATCCCCAAAACTAGAGATTTTCTAGTTCTCTATTTGTTTTTAAGACATCCCAGAGGTGAAAACAGGCTCCCACCCTTCACCTTGATGCCACTACTGATTTCTCTAATTCTAGAATAAACCTTTCACCTCATTTTCTATACACAGAGAGAATAGCTTTCATTTCATCAGCAGAAATGCCCCTTTAATGCAACTTGTTAAGACACCCTCCTAACACCCACGCTAAGAAAGTTAGTGTGATAAACACAACCCTATCAGAAACTGGAATTAGGAAGAGAACTGTCTTTGTTGGTAATACGCATCCTGTAAAAAGGTGCATGATTAAGTGCAAAAAAGAAAGAAAAGACACTATTTAGGAAATTCATCACTTCACACCGACTTCTATAATACACAAAACATTTTAGAATATTTTCCTTGATTTTTGTAAATATTAGTATATGATTTTAGAAAGCATTTGTGTTAACAAGTTCTTGAAGAATATTCTTAGCTCATGCTCTCCATGTTTTTCCCCTAATCATAGTAATAAAATACAACAATAATTAATATGTTTGCACTTTCCTATAATTTTTCTGTCAGCTCCTTTCATCGGCTTCTGTTTTCTAGCCAATAATTTCATGCTATGAGAAAATGAGCAAAAATAAAAGATATGAATTACTTTTTCCTCTCACCTTTTGAAAAACATTTCTAAAATCTTCTGGTATCTACTCATTGGTGTGTGCTTATGCTTGTGTATTTGTGTTTTTGTATATTCATATGTTTCTCTCTGTATTTGCATTTGTGTGTTTGATTTGTGTGTTTCTGTTTTTGTGTGTTTGTGCATTGTATGCTTGTGAAAGTCAGATAAATCCCTCCATGTCTGATAATCTTAGTTTTTTGAGAAGCATCTCTATACATACCTGGAGATCACCAATCAGTAAGTCTGGCTGGTCAGTAACCTGGGATTATCCTGGCTCTCTCTCAACTTCCCACCAGGACCACAGAAGGATGGAATGCAGAGCTTTTAACATGGTTTTGGGACTAAAACTCGGGCAACCATTTTACTCGCTGAGCCCCATTCTTATCTTACTAGTTTTTACTATTTTTAGGTGATACTCCTTGAGAGTCAGTCCTATAGGCATGCTTGATGTTGTGATTGCAAATTTCTCTGAAACTATTAAATGATTCAGTTGTATGGATTCTTTTATCTCACTTTACACATAGGCACACTGAAAGGAATTAAACCCTTCTTGTCCTTGTAAATGGCAATAACTTAAATGGTTCAAAAGCCCAGTTCCCACTGTCATCTCTTCTCAGTGACTCTAAACACTACAATTTATATGGGGCAGGGCTAGCCCAACGTTCAGCAAGATGCATGAACTAGTCTCTACAGTATCACTGTGATTTTAAGAGGGAAGAATTATGAGCATCCTAAATCTAGGTGCCTTTTAAGGGTGAAAAAGGACACCACCAAGCAGCCTCAGTGGGCCAGAGCCAATGTAGATGAAGGAGGGGTAATCCACAATGTACCAGATATCCCTGTCTTGGAAGTTAATCTCACTGACTGCACTTTACATAGAACGATTTGTCAACAGATTGCTTTCTGTTTGTTATAATTCTCATACTCAGGAAGAAGGGAAGTGGCCACCCTAGTAATGTAAATACGTTGGAGGTGCTCCTCTCCATCTTCATGATTAATTCTACCAGAGGTACAAATTTGCATGAATGAATGTCAGTGTGTTTTCTGCCCTGAACATTTCTTGCTGGCTTCAGTTCAGCCCTGCTGACATTTATTACAAACAATAGCTAAAGATTCCTGATTTAATAGCTGTCATGGCCCCACATCTGAAGGTAATGTCTGTAATAAAAGCAGACAGGACAGGCTCATAACAAATACTAATCAGATTGTGTTTGCACGTGTAATGGATAAGCCTCACACACACACACACACACACACACACACACACACACACAAATGTGTTGGTTACTCTTTAAATGCTGCTACTAAAAGTCACAGTTCAGGAACATATTGGCTGCTTTATTTTCTTTTCATTTCTCTCCATCCTCCATCTCCTTTAAGTAAGCAAGGCCTTGGTGCACAATCAAGATTGAATATTATCCTCCTTTTTATCTGGAAAAAATAGGACACTAAACACAGAAGACCGGCTGTGTCCTTTTATTCATCTTTTGTTGCTCCTTATAAACAAAGAGCATTGTCCCCTGATAAATTCCATTTTCTGCCTCTTATTCAAAGGTAGTTTACACACAAGCTCCAGCGATTCGCACACAATGAAGGTACTGACAAAGATACAAATAACTTCCAAAGTTCTTTCAACCTGTTGACCCAGATGTCCCTCGGAAAGATATAAACTAGCCTTCCACACCTCTTACAATTGATAAAGGAGACTGTAAAACCTGATCACAAAAAGAAGACACACTGTAACTACTAAAGGCAGGCTTTAAAAGCCTGCGGGAATAAAAGGTGTTCTTCTCTTTATCCAACCCAAACCGCAAAAGCCTGCACATGAAAACTGAAGGTCAAATTAGCATTGTCTTCACCTTGACATTTAAACATATAGGAATTTCACTCCTGTGGCATTAATTGTGAATATCTTCATGAAAATACAACTTTCCTTACTTTTCCATTTTCAATTTTCCATTCCAGACTAAATTGTGCAGAAAATCATACTTAGAGATGATTATAGTCACTAGGATTGTCATATAAATTCTATTGAAATGAATTATCTGAAAGGCGTTTATTTTTCTGCATATAACTTTGGTGGTAGTGGCTACTGAAGTCCCCATCACAAAGTGTTTTAAGGTCTTCCGCAGTATCCACTCAGTAAACTCTCACTTGAAGTCGAAATATTCTGGACTCTGGCAGAGACTGGGAGCAGAATATCATTTTTATACCTTTTTCCTATTCTTTGAAAATTTCATATGTGTATGCAATATATTTTGATCATGCCTGTATAGCTCAATTTCCTCATTCCAACTATACCTGGGACCCTCCTCCAGAAAAGCCTGTCTCCTAGATCTCTTTTCTTTCTTTCTATTATGACCTACTCCATGTCCATTTATCCAGAATCATTTGAGATGCCATACTCCTCCACTTCCCCATTTCTCTAAGGAATTCATGAGGACAATGAGAAGACAATGTGAATTCTAGTCCAACTGGTTCTTTTAAAACTCTGCCCTTGGGCCACTCTTGAACCATTCAGGCAGCTGGACAGCACTATCAATGTGACTAGAAATGGGTGCTTCCAGGGGAAGTAAAATGACAGAGTCAACAACAAGAACATCCCATGGCCTTGACATTCAGAGGCAAGTTTGAACTGTTCACTTTATTTTACTAGTTGACATGGTCTCCTTTTCACAATTTGTGTCACCATTATTATCTTCAAAAGATGGAGGAAACGAGGCCAAACATATATTTTCAGGAATCACCGATTGCGAAGAATGTTAAACCTTGGAAGACAGTTGAGAAATTACTTATTTTATTTGGTTCCTTGGGATAGTATGGTTCAGGAAGGAAATGATTCATCAAAAGTCACACTCAGCATTGGATTAGACATTGGACTGATTAGACATTAGACTGTTTCAAGTCCTGGCTTGGTGTTCTTTCCTGTTCACCCTTGCCTTATTTAGTCATTTCCAGATCACAAGAACTAACTTCTGTTGTTTACGACATTAGATGCAAAGCAAATTTACTGAATTCTTCATCTATAGGTTTCTCAGATCTCAGAGATACATTGCTCACAGATAAGCCTGGGCCATCAGTTTCTGACACATGTCTTCTCTGTTGGGATGAAAAAAAAAACAAAAAAGATCTTGCTTTAGAAGACAAAGAACAGTTTCATAATCACTCATTTATGGCTTTCTGTCATGGCCAGATTCCAAAAACCAGTCCAGGTTGCTGAATTATGTGTTCTGTGTCACTGTCCCAACATTTGCATTACTAATTGCTATGTTCTTTCCAGATTCACATTTCATACTCTCGGCCAATTAAGTGTGGTTTCTTCTGTCTCCCGTCATTTTCCCTACACGTATATCATTTCATTTAAATGTGAACTACTGTCAGAATACATCTTACATATATTAACTGCAGTATATCCCTACTGTGCTCTGATATGGGAATGCCATTTCCCAATGTTGTTTCTGTGCTCCTCAGATGTGGTCTCTCCTTGGACCTGTTCACAAATAACAATCAGATATGGATTATTCCTACTATAAGCTCTTGGTGTCCTTCCTGTCACTTGTTACTTCATAGAAATAACATTCCTATCTACACTACTGCTATTACAGATTCACTAAAGACCATTTTTGACTCATTCATCCTTATACTATGCACTGTATTGTGAAGGTTCTTACCCATCACTAAGAATATTTTTATACATTATAAGTAATGTTTATTATCCAGAAATCATATATTTCATTCTTAGAAAAAAATGGGTTTTTTTTAATCATGAACCAATGTGTCTTTTAATGGTACATTAACACTAGAGAACAATAGATGTTACTTCAATGTCATAAGTGTTATAGGAAAGCTGAAGAGAAAATGAGCTTGAGACTCCACTATGCTTTGGCTAGCTGAAAGATGTCTGACTGATAATTAAATGTTTCATGAGAGAAGTACAGATCATCAGAAAGTCAAACGTGGTCACCCCTGCAAAGGGACACATGCAACTTAGTTTTATAGCTCCACAGAGCAATGCTGTGGTAGGAACTTTTTAAACAATCATATCAGACATCTATTGACTGGGAACCCAATAAACTATTCATTGCCCAGAAGAACTGGATTAAAGTACTTTTAGATCTGATGTCTTTAGCTGAGAATTGATATAAAAGAGAATCTAGGTCTGTAGATGCATCATCAGCTATGAGGTCCCAAAGATAACAGGAATGTCTGTGACAATGAGAATAAACAGTCATGTTTCGAGTCTGGTATATCTATAGACCTGGTCAGGGTTGCAGTTGGTTTTATTTTTGTTCTTTGGGGACCTGCCACGCAATTCTCAAATAAATACATGGAGATTTATTTTTTCTTATGAATGCCCAGCCTTGGCTTGGCTTATTTCTAGATAGCTTTTTAAAATTAAAATTATCCCATTTCTCTTTAAGTATGGTTTTCCTTGGGGCTTTTACCTTTCTTTATTCTAAATATCTTTCTTTCCTTCTTGCTCCATGGCTGGCTGAGTGGCTGGATGGCTGGTCTGTGGCATCCTCCTCTCCGTCTCCTTTTCTTGCTCCTCCTTCTTCTCTAGATTTCTCCTCTTATTTGTTCTCTCTGCATGTCAGCCCTACCAGTTTCTCTCTCCTGCCTAGCGATTGTCTGTTCAGCTCTTTATTAGACCAATAAGGTGTTTTAGACAGGAAAAGTAGCACAGCTTTACAGAGTTAAGCAAATGCTACATAAAAGAATGCAACACATCTTTGCATCGTTAAACAAATAATCCACAGCAAAAACAAATGTAATATACATTAAGCTAATATACACAACACAGGGTTCTAGAAATTTTCTAAGGAAATGATACTAGTTCAAGAGGGAAATAACCAAAATAAGCACATTGAGGTAATTTTTAAAGCTTATGCTATAATTTTTAGAGGGTTTCTTGAAGGGAGGGAGGAAGAAAACTGTACACAGGAAGCAGAGAGCAAAGCTAAGAGATGAGTAGAAAAGACAGAAGAATAGCATTTACGTTAGATGCAAGAGAGAAATGGAAGGAAAATCTCAGAAGCAAAGTAGTGCTGAGCTCAACTCCAACCCCACTCTCAGGGTTCCTCTCTGTTGCTGCATTGTACAGAGCTAGAGCATGCATGGCGTTTACTGTCTCTGGTGTATCCATCACTTCCCTCTTATGTGTTCGGAAAGGCACAAGTTTGGGCCTTTGCAGGTCCACTTAACTTTTTGTGACATAGCTTACCTTTCTTTTGGACAGTTTACCCAGATCCAAACTGCTCAAGATATGATGTGTTGGAAAGGTGCTTCAGATCTCAGTGGACTGCAGCCTCTGGTTCAATCTCTGGAACTGAGATAGAATTCTGCATTTACTAAGCATTTATGCTTCGTGGAGGTACCTGGGCCTCACTTCAGGAGGGAGGATCTAAAAAATACATTGAAGAAAATTTGGCCTAAAGAACAGACACGATTAAAAACTACTGCTTAACGCTTAAGCGCTGTTTCCACAAAACTCAACCTTTGTGTAGATTAAATATACTTTGAATAATAACACTTTATATTGTGTCAAAGCCTCAGAATATATCATTTATATTCCTTGCCATATACAAGGAACATTTTTAACCACTTGCTTTCTGTATTTATCTTATTCCTTTGTTTACTATACTTCTCTTAATGGGTCTCAAATGAGAAATGCTGACTTCATAGAACTTAATTACCTAAAATCCCCACTTCCTTATTGACTACCAAAAGCAAAATAGCTTTTTGTGTTAACATTTCAAAATGTCCAATTTAATTTATGGAAGACAGTACTTTTTAGCTCAGTGTATATAGATGATGAATCCTGTTTTTTTCTTGTCTTATGAAAAGACCATTCTTATCACCCTCACAGAAATATGTCTCACATAGAGACATATTGCAAAAATCCAGGAGCAAAACTGCTCACAATTTGTTGGAAGTGTCTGTGGCATCTACAAAACAATTGTATCTGCAGTAAGTAAAGCATCCCCTCCACTGGTGAGAAAATTAGGTTTGACATCACATCATGACTGAATTGCTTCTGCAATATCCCATAACAGTATAATTCCATTCATGTCTTTGAAAACAAAAGCAGAGTCTCTGGCTTTCTACATGGGCATTGGGCTTGGAGATAACTCAATAATAGCAAGGACACTTTGTTGGTGTGGTCATTCTGAGACATTTGAATCCAGAGCTTTCAGAACTCCAGTTATGGTGGCTATTTTGAGAAAGTCCAAGGTCACAAAACACACACAGCTTAATTGCAGTCGCTTCTCTGATGCCTTCAGCACACGATGGTTTTCTCCTTTTAAACACATTCCAGGCTTTGCAATTAACAGAGCAACTTTACTACTCCCTCCCCATCTCAATCAGAAGTCTTTCAAGACAGCCATTCTGCAAAACACAAAATCAGGGAGAAAAGCAACTAAATCAAACTCAAATAAAAAGCAGTGATAGAGAGCTTCAACAAAGTCCACACAAGGAATCAAGCTTGCTTTTAAACAAAAATATTGACATAGCAATTTAAAATAAATACCAGCTTCATATGCTGAACACTTTATTATTGGCTCACAGGACGGCAAAAGCAAGGAACACATTCTTCTCTGAAACATTGCCAGAGGCAAGCCTCTTCAAAGCCAAACATTGTGACATGCTCTAAAGTAGCTTGCCATCATGTTGATTGTTGCATTTGGTATAACATAACGCCTGCATGTTCATTAAGCCTACATTTTTGCAATTAAGGTACATATGTTTAGCTTCTACAAATGTCTGAGAGCCAGGTGGAACAAGTCAATCGCGCTGGTGACATTGAACATTTCTATAACAATGCTGAATTCTAGCTTAGTGTTCTGCAGTCTGCCTATTATACAGCAAAACAGAATTGCCAATATGCCCTTTTGTGCAAAACTGTAAAAGCTCAGAAGATCTTAGCAAACACTGGCTATGTCACGGCTAAAATACGTAAAGCAGATGTCTACAATTATCCTGTTTAAAAGTTTCATTGTAAAAAAAAAAACCTTCAAATACAGCACTGTTGCCAGTAATTGTGCATTAATTGGCTTCATTCAACTCTGAAGGTCTAACAGAAGTGTCCTCTGATTTGCTGTCACCAAGGCACACTTTATGATAATATGTTGAGTAGGTCTTTGTTCTTTCACTGCCTTTTTAATCTTTAGGTAAAGTGCCTATATACAAAAGTCAAGGTGATTGTGTGCTGATAATTAATATTATTCCCCCCCCAGCATTTAAAAAGCAGAGATTATCAATGGGTTTTATTATAAGCCAGAATAGGTACTGCCAGACTCTCACAGGCAGGCAGAGAATAAAGATGCTGACCTGTAGGTAAAGTGCTAAGTTTAAGTTCATTGGAAACTTGTAATCCTGCGCACTTGGACAAATGAAATGTTAGGTGTCAAGTATCTAAACAAAATATGGCTTTTACAAATAAATCCCAGCAAGGCTGCAGTTGTGTGACCTTGCCCAGTCTACCTCTCTTGGTAGAGCACAGTAGAATTCTCGTCGTAACGCTAGGACGCGCTAATTAGCTGAAAGCTATATCTCGGGTGAAAGGGCAATGGGGAGGCAAAACAAAGATTGCTTCAAAATTGTTCTTCCTGTGTTTTCTGGACAGGGGTTCAGAAAGATTGCCTAAAGTGCACAGGCTCTTTTTGATATTTCTGACAGTTAAAGTACCCTAAATTGGAAAGTGCTCCTATACAGCAGGATAAAGGAGAAAACAGTTGCTGGAGAGGGTTGATGGTTATGAGAGTGGTTCCTCTGGCAACTGTAAATACCTGTGGAGTTTGTGGGAGTTTGTCTTGAAAACTTTGAAAACGTTCCATGCACATACTGTGCGAAGTCTTCCATGTCTTACTCCTACCCAGTCTTCCACACCTAACCACCCACAACTCAGCAGCACTGTTCAGGGCACCTGTTTGGAGGTCAGAGGACAATTTTGCTGACCCAGTTATCTCCTTCTACCTGTATAAATTCAGGGATCAACTTCAGTTGTTCAGGCACTGCAAAAAGTTCCTTTACTTACTGAGCCGTCACAACAACTCAGATCTAGTTTTTTTTATTATCTCAATCAACCTGACATGTCCTTCATTCAGAAATATTAATCTCTAAGAGTAAAAAAAAATCAATAAAAAGCAAGTTAAATGTTTCAGTAAATCTAAGTGTGAAGAAAAATTATGGTCCTAGACACTGGGGATTTTGCAATTGTCAAAAAATTTCAACATTAAATGGAGTCTGTCTAATATGAGGTATTAAAAATGTTAAAGTTTTAGAAGTCTAGGAAAATGCTTAAAAGAATATCCAAAATAAAACAACTAAGATACCAAAGAAATTAACATTAGAACCACTTAATAGATGCACTAATTTAAATCTTGAAACTAAATCTTAAGTAGTAACCTACTAGAGATAAGAAAATTAAATAAACAAAAAGAACCTTGAATGAAAGAAACCTGAATGAACTCTGCCAGAACTAGACGACTGCTTTATCAAAGAGAACAAGCCACCAAACAGCACTAGAGCTTGTGAGCTATGAACATGGCATAATTACCTTGATTTTAGTAAACATAAGGAGGTGGGTATGAAAACATTTTTTAAAAGGTTGATAAGGAAAAAGACTGAGCAAAGAAACTCTTAACCTATTACAGACTATAATCAGACAATATGGCCAGAGTTTGAAAGCAAACCAAAGTTTGTAAATCCAGTCAGCAACTTAACTTCCTGCTATGTATTGGGCTGACAACAAACTTTGTCAAGAAGGTGAAGTCTGGCTTATCTCTCTTTACTTGCTCTAGAATAAGAGTGACACCTAAAAAGAGGAACAATAACAACAAGAGAACGGCAATGATAATTATAGATTTCACATAAATTATAAAGTAAAACAAAAGAGAGAAAGAGAATGGGCGTGGCATCATGCACCTAGGCTGGAATCCTAGCACCTGGAAAGCAGGCAGTCAACTGTGAGTTCGTATGCAGAATGAATCACTAAGCAAGATGATGGGTCATAGAATTAATAAAAAGATTTAACTGATGCTTAAAAACATCATACTTTTCTAGATTAACAAGGAATCCTTTGATTAAATAGAAGATCATAAAATCAGAGGATATGAGTTGAGATCATATAGCCATAACAACTAACTCCAGAATTATACATGGGATACTCCACTTTGAAGCACATTCAAAGACCTATTTAAATGATTTCCATTGAAGAGTATAAAAATTTAGGGGACATATTCAGAGAGGCTTAAAAAAGTGTAAGAAAGATACAAAACCCATTTTATCAGTTATGTGAAATGGATAAGTTTATTGCCACAAGATGATATCTCTTTCCTGGGTTTATTTAGACTGTAAATAATAAAGGGACTTCAAAATTACTGACAGTAGTTCGTAACATTGCATCATACTTTCCTGCAAAAAAAATGTGTCAACATACCAAATACATGTATTTGTAAGGTTTCTTTACACAGTATATTTTAGGTAGGAAGTCAGAAATAAATATTCTAAGAAATCCAAATTGAAGCACATTGCATTCCCATAGGTTAACTTTTTGCTTAAGTTTGAATTAGCTGTAAATATCTCTCTATATCCCCTAATGTCCCATTCTTACATTTCTAACTTAGAAAGTACCGTTGAGCTGTTTAACCAAGAAGTGAGATGATAACAAGATCATCCAGTTTCAACTGTTACTTGGAAAAATCTGCAAAGTTCTTGATTTCCTGCATGCGAAAATATTTCCTATAGATATTTTAGGAGACAAAGGCAATGAAGAAGGCTGTGGGAATATTTTTCGTTAAATTAAAGCTTAATTTCTGTAGTATCTGTTCACTGTGGCTGTGCCAGTGTTTGTGTGCACTTGCACGGCAACACCACTGTCTCTGTAAGTTGGCAGTACATTCTGATTGTCATGACTTGCTTACAATGTGAAATATCGTAATATGCAAGTCCCAGCACCCTTAGAAGAAATAGAGTCCAAGCCTTCAGATTTTCCAAAAGAATATGCTAAAAAGAATATATATCAACATCTTTTATATAAATATCCCTTTTTGCAGAGGCTATATTTAATAGAATAGGCATTTATGGTCACAAAAGTTTTAAAATGAAACACAACAAATCATAGCACCAATTGGTGACATTTGTCTTTCCTAAGCCCAAAGAAATCAGCACCTGTCAATTTCAGGTCTCTTTGTTTCTGACAGTAAGAGTGGCCTCAAGTGCTCATTCATTTAGCAGCCAAGGCTATCTTTGTTGTTTCCAAAAGAAAAGTATTTGCTAACTTTATACCAGTCTAGTGGCCTTAAAATAAAAATATAGAAACTGAATTATAAGTTGGTGAATAACTCCCCACTTTGCTGTCCCATAAGTCTTACAGTAGTATTATGATTAAAACTAAATCTTGCATTAAAAACCTCTTTCCAAAGGAAAAGACAAGACAGGAGGTTTGAAATTAGAATATTTTAATTAAAACCCTCATTGCTTGATTTTCATCACATTGCAGCTGTTGATTTTCAAATACATGTGTGGTTATTTTTTTCCTCCTGCCTCTCTTTGTAAGATAGAAATATTTTCCAAGAAAAAAAAATAGTTGCTCTTCTTTTTTTTTTAATACCCATTATTGATGACGTTACAGCTCATGACAACATTAAATACTCCAAACTAAAAAGAGCTTCTCCTATCAAACACATTTTGGGTTTATTTTCTATTGTCCAAAACTATTCTGGGGCAACCCACTTGCATGTGATAACTTCTCATATGTTATTCTGAAGCCTTGGGAACCAAGCACATGTCTTCATCATGCAGAGCACAAGTCCCTCTCCAAAACTTTCGTTAGATTTCAATCAACTGGCCTCTGGCCCCCAAGCCGAATTGAGATCCTACACATTTCTCTTCTCTCACTTGCTATTATGCCACCCAAATATGATGCAAAACCAGCTTCTAAAACTTTCGAGCAAGATAAAAAGTTATTTATGTTCTTCCCTGTCAATCATCCACTCAGTAAACAAACTCAGCACCTTTTATGCGCCAGGTGCTGTTTGAGAGGCTGGGATTAATGAGTCAGGTAAAAAGACTGACTCCAGAAAGTTACATTCTCATTTAAGTTTTCACAAGTAAATACACAGCATGATAGCTATTGATCCAAGTTGAGGATATGGATAAAGGGGTCAGTCATACATGGATTGCTCATGGCGTGCTTGCTTTTCTGGATGGGCTTTGCAAAGAAGACATTTTTAAAAATACAGTATAGTGTAACGCTGGATAGTATCTGCTATATGTGACAGGGAAGCTGTACCCATGACACCCAAACAATGAGGTCGCCTAAACAAAGCCTTCTTATGACACCACTGGTTGACATGCCAACATGGCTCAGAGTTTTAGGGTTATCC